GATATATTAAATGCTTGAATCACAGAAAAAAAGGAGCAGAGAGAATAGACTCAAAACGTAAAAAATAAAAAATAAAAATGTTATTGCAAATATAGCATTTTGAAAACAATAAAATGTAACTCAGGGATCTAAATCTGTTAAGCATGTTAGCAATTAATACCCCATAGACATAAAACATGCCCTCTTTAAAAGTACTGCATCTATAGATTGAAATGTTCTGAAAAGCATGCTGAATTTCACTTCCACACATCCGATATCACCGCACTACATCTCAATCTATAAGGCTGCGTCCAGGAGAGTGCAGAGAGGTAGCGTGCAGTCATGAATAAATGCATGTTTAATTTCAAATGCATTCTTAAAGACAGTGGCTGGGAGCGGCTTCCAAAGGGCCTCTGTGGTTATTGCCGCTCGCTCCAGCTACACCCACAAGAGCTTATTGCGAAGGTTTTTTATCGGCGAATATATGAGAAGTGTGCGCGGCGTGGACAGAAGAGTGACGCTTGATGTTGTTTTCCTTCTCGCGGTTGAATTATAGGCCTCCTCTGACCATAAAGTGCCAGCTATAACGTCTTTATAAATCACCGCTCAAGACCTAATGATGTGCACTCCAGATGTAACGGCGCAGTTTGCAAACATCCACAGAGCAGCAGCGCAAACGCACAATAATGAAGTCAAGTGGGAATCAAATATCAAATCGAACATATATATATATATATATATATATATATATATATATATATATATATATATATATATATATATATATATATATATATATATATATATATCTTCCAGAAGCGCCTTTGTGAGGTCACACACTGATGTTGGATGAGAAGGCCTGGCTCTCAGTCTTGCTTTGTGCACTGGTCACAGTCATGCTGGAAGAGAGACCATCTCTAAACTATTCCCGCACAGTTGGGATCATGGAATTGTCCAAAATCTCTAGGTCAACTGAAACATTCAGAGTTCATTTCACTGGAACTAAGAGGCCGAGCCCAGCTCCTGAAGGCAAGCCCACCCCATAATCCCCCTTCACTAAACTTTACACTTTGCATAATCTAATCAAACAAGTACTGGCAACCACCAAAACCAGACTCATCATCAGATTGTCAGATGGAGAAGGGCGTTTCGTGACTCCAGAGAATGATTCTCCACTGCTCTGGTCCAGTGGAGGCATGATTTACATCATTTCAGCCGACGCTTTGCATTGCACTCAGTGATGTGTGGCTTGGATGCAGCTGTGGAAACCCATGCCATGAAGCTCTCCACATTGTTCTGGAGGTCTGTAGTGACTGACTCTGCACAAAGTCAGCATCCCCTGACCCAGCATCCCCTGACCCCGCCCTGTCAGTTTATGTAGCCTCCCACTTTGTTACAATCCTACTGACAACTGATTGTGGAATTTTTAAGGGCAAGGAAATTTCACGACTGGACTTGCTGAAGTTGACTCTTACCTCTTTAAATATCATACCTGGAGTTGTGTGTTTTTTTAATTCACATATGTGTATATATGTCTTAGAAATTATAATTACTTTCAGCATCTCTCAAGCTCAGAATGCTCTGTTCCACCTTGTGATGTCATGAAGCAGTAGTTTTCTGCAGGGTTTGTACGTGTGAATGAAACAAAACACAACTCCAGGTCTGTTTATGATGAGGAAACATCATTATAACAAAGATCAAAACTAGAGTAATATGGCCCTTTAAACATTTGCAGCGGTCTAAAGTTAATCCTCACTTACCTTATGCATTCCAAGTATCCTAATTATTCACCACATTCAGTTTATTAGTATAAGAGACGAGTGCATGGTTTTTGCCGTGATGGTTAAGCAACAATAACAATAATAATAATAATAATCCTGATTATCGGACACTAAAATGCTTTTTATGTATTTAAATCTGTACTTGTGCAAGACAATTTTTTTTCAAATACATTGTAAAAAACTGGGATAGGACCATTTAAAATACAGTGTGTGTAGTGTAGAAGAAAGTTGGCTTTAATCTGTGTGTGATACAAATACTGTACTTTGATGCGTGTGCCATAAAATCACTAAATCTTTCACAAATGGAGTATCGGTTTGCAGCACGGGGGTCGCCTCCGGGCCTTGACCTATTGCCAAATGTCTCTACCCCATTTTCTTGCCATTCCATGCTCTTCGAGAGGAGACGTCTTCTACATTTGATCATGCAGAATAATCATTTGCCTTTCTCACAGCTCAATGAAACACCTCACAGGCCTGGCACTTTTGACTCTAAGTGCAGCAGACCAAAGCCAGTGGAATGAAGCCAATTCCTAACACATCTAATATTTCCTGGCCGCTTCTTGCCCAGTGCAGTTGAATGCCTCTCAGAGAACGATCAGACTCCATAATGTACAGCAGTGTTTCCCAAACATTTATTTTATTTTTTTTTCTGGGGACCCATATTTTAAAAAAATCACAAACCTTCACGACCCAAGTCAATTATTCATGAATCACAAAATAAAGGTGAATTTGAGCATTATTGAACATTACTGGGTGTGGTGGATCCCTCTGCCACCACTCCATAGTGTCAGTATTATTTCATTTTCATTATTATTTACAGACTTATATTCTAATTTGAGTGCACACATTTTAGTTAATATAAGTCTAATTTACTTACACTTGTTTTTTTGTTTTTTTTGAGCACCGGACGGAGGACCCTGGGAGAGACCATTAGGACTCAGCAAAGGGGGGGAGCACTATTAGTTTGTTAGTTTGTGTTAAGGTCACTTTATTATCGCTTATTATTTTCTGTGTTATAATTATTTGCCTTTTTGTTACTTTGATTAAGTTATTGGTTTAGTTAATTATTTTGTGTAATTCCTCCCTCTTGTGTTTAGCTTTAGTTATTCCTCAGGTATTTAAACACCTCTGTTCCTTTGTCGGGTTGAGTTAGCTTTGTTCTGTTCAGTTTGATTTTGAGTTTCTCCAGTTGGGCCCAGCTTTTTTTGTTAGTAATTTGCCTAATTTGAGCTTTTGTTAAATTATATCTTTTTTTTAACTTTATTAAACTTAAACTTACTTTTATACCTTGTCTTTGCCTTTCTGTTTGGTCCACTGCACTGGGGATATTTTATTGTTGACTAAGTGATCGTGTCTCTCTGAACAATTAGTTTTATAAGTTTTAAACAATGAAAAACACTGAAGCAGCAATAAAAGGTCGCCTGTTTGGACATTAAATGTAGCCTCTTTCTTTTTTCCTTTCAATATTCAATTGAATCAGCAATATTGGAACAACATAGTCAATAAAATATTTACAAAAAGATCAGAAATTATACAAAACATGTCTTAACATTTGAACATTTCTAATAAGATCGGTGGACCTGTGTGTTTTTGTAGCGTGTTCAGTCCAGGTGCAAGACGAGAGCGCAGATCAGATCAGGAGTATAGGCAGAACTGTATATTCCAGAGCCATAAGCAGATTGTAACAAGGCGACCCAAAAAAATCTCTTGTGACCCACCTGAGGGTCGCAACCCAGTCTTTGGGAAACAATGGGGTACATGCAGCAGGGCAATGTTCCTCAATTGTGCCAGTCTGAGAGGGTTAGGTCAGTTTCACTCCACCTGAGAATCCTGACCTACCTGTCTGTCTGTCTGTCTGTCTAGCAATTATTCAGTTACATTATGTTTTTTTTTTTATTTCCAAAAGAATGATCCCGTATGCAAATCTAGATGCAGTCATATTTCACTAGGCTGTTACTCTGAAGACCTTTTACTTTTTATATATTTTATTTTTCTTTAGTTTTGATGAAAAGGTAAACAACACATAACAGAAAACAGTGAACATGACATAGAAAAAAAACAAATTTGACAGACTGCATCCAATGTTTTTATATCACATTTAAATTGAAATAAGATTACTGCACTTCCTGTCCAGCATGTGAGTTCCATTTACTCCAAAGTTTGTCAAAGAGATCCATTTTCAAATTAAGTCCAAATGCTATTTTTTCCATTTTCTTAATTTCATTTATAATTTCCGACCAGTCTTTGATTGATGGAGCAGTTTGTGTCATCCACTTTTTTGTAATAGCCTTTTTTCCTGCCTGTAACGAATGTTCGTTACGTAATAATTACACATGTTCATTCACTTCGCACTTTATATATATTTACTTGCACAGTATAGCACGAGGCACTTATAAGATCGCTAATTTGCACATATTAAAATTGCACACATTTGTATTGTTTTAAAAAAATATTTATTGAAAACATTTTCACGTGGGCTGGTCGGACGGGCACTTCCGGGTTTGGCGGCTGCCGGTCTGCGGAGATACACCGAAAGTTTACAATTGATAGTGTGCAATATATGTGCCGTGTTTTAAATTAGTTGTGTCTTGTGTGTGTTTGCGTGTGTGCCATGTGGGTATTTTAGAGTGTGAGTGGTATGTGCGTGCATGTTTGGGATGTGATAGTGCTTTTACTTACCCGTGTCTTCTGTCCAGGTGTCTGGCGAAAAGATTCCCCGGGGAACCAGACACCATTTAAGAGTTCCGGGCCAACTCATCACGGCGGACATCGGGGGGGGAATAGCACTCGTTTTAATTGGAATATTCACGTTGGGTTTTATTAGGAATTAGTTTTAGGGTTTTATTATTTTTGTATTTGGGTTTTATATAGTTTATTTGGCTATGGGTATTTTATTGGAGGATTTTAACTTAGTTTTATACAGCTAATGTTATTTTACACCCCTTGGAGTTTTAATGGTTTTATCCAGTGGTATATAAGGCGCCTAATCCGACCATTCGATGTTCTGCTGCTGGAGAGACCTGCTGCTCCATATCCTCCCTGCACTTTTTGCACCGCACTTTGTTTTTGCACTGGCACTTTGGGAATTTTAGAAAAGAAATAAAAAAATCTTGTGGACCACGCTAAACCTGCCTCCATCATCTGTTCTCGGTTTCTCACTGCAATCCAGCCGCTCTACCCGTCCTGGTCACATTTGGTGTCAGAAGTGCCGCCCTGCCACAGTGAGTACAGAGTTACACGATGCCCAGAGGAGGAAAGAAGGCCGAGGAGCCAGATGAAGGAAATGCTGTAGCATCTGGCCCCCAGGAGGGCACAAGTGGGTCCAAAGATAAAGTGGAGGAGTTGACTGCTCTCGTGAAAGCATTGATCGAGAAGCAGGATGCCAGAGAAAAGAAGCAGGAAAAAGACCAGCTTCTACAGGAGCAGCGCTGGAAGGCCATGCAGCGGCAGTTCCAGCAGATCCAGCAGCAGCATAAGTCCGAGCACTCTGAGTTGTATGTGCAAGGACAAGGAGAGCCATCATGTGACTATGATGATGATGGTGAAGATGATGGGCCAGACCCTGGCGGCTATGGTTACAGACCGCAGAGGGAGCCCAATTTGCCAATCTTGAAGCCAGAGGACGACATTGAACATTTTTTAATTACGTTTGAGCGGATGGCCCAAGTTTATCGCTGGCCAATCGATGAGTGGGCGGTCCGCCTTGTTCCCCTGTTGACCGGAAAAGCACGCAGCGCGTTTGTGCAAATGGACATTCGCCACTCCAACAACTATGAAAAAGTGAAGGAGGCCATCTTGGCTAAATATGAAATCACAGATGAGACCTACCGTCGCCGCTTCAGGTCCCTGAAGATTGAGTTGGAAGAGACGCCGCGGGAGCTGTATGTTCGACTCAAGGACTTGTTGAACCGGTGGCTGCAACCGGAAAAGAACTCTCCAAAGGACGTCTGGGAGAAGCTCATCCTGGAGCAGTTTCTCCGCATGGTCAGCCCAGAGCTCGAGGTCTGGATCCGGGAGCGAGACCCTGCCAGTGCTGAGGAAGCAGCTCGTCTTGCAGAGTCCTTCCTGTCTGCCCGTAAAGGACCCAGAGCCAGCTACTTTGGACGGGAGCCCCGTTTCACCCAGCCAAGTAAGTCCTATGGGGGTGATCAAGGTTGTGGTCCTGTCTCCGGGGGGGTTAAAAGTAGGCCATCTCCACCTTACCAGTCACGTGCAGCTAAAAAACCACCAAACAGGTCTCAGACACAGGAAGTCAGGTGTTACAACTGCAACAACTTAGGCCATACACAGCATTTCTGCCCAGCTCAAAGATCTAAACCCTCTCTTTTGTGTTCAGTACCTAGGCCGGCCACTGTACTTGCCATGGAGAGTAGGGGGTGCACAACACCGGTGCTGGTTAATGGCCAAAAAGTCAAAGCACTGCTAGACTCAGGTTGTTTCCAGTCTGTTGTTCTGTCCAGTTTGGTCCCAGAGGAGAGGCACTCTAGGGAAACTATACCACTTACCTGTATCCACGGAGATGAGCATACCTACCCAACAGCTGAGGTTTACATTACAGTAGGAGGTCAAACTTACCTGTTAAATGTAGCCCCTAGCACAGAATCTGCCATACAGTGTCATCCTGGGGAATGACATCCCAACATTACTTGATTCATGTCTCAGAATGACGAGTCAAAGGGAGAGAAAGACTGCAACCCTGTAACTGAAAAACCCACAGTTGAATCGGTTAATTCAGTGAATATCCTCACCAGAGCTCAGAAAGCTAAAGCTATGTTTGAGGAGCTTCCTTATTGGGAGAAGAGTTTGAGGCTCAGCAGGAAAGGCTAGGAAGCCCAGAGCCCAGAAGAGGAGAGAAAAGTTTGCAGGTACTCCCAGAGAAGACGGTCAGTTACCAAGACCACTCAGTCCAGTTGAGTTTGAGATCCCACTGGACATAGGGACACTCCAAACACAGGATCCATCTCTAAAACCCTGGTTTGAGAAAGTGTCAGGGCAGCCAGGGCAGACTAAATGTTTGGATGAAATAAAATACATAGTCAGGAATGGTATTTTGTATCAAGTTAATGATAAAAGTGAAGCTCTTGCCTTACCTCACCAGTTCAGACAGCAGGTAATGGAACTGGGCCACTCCATCCCCTGGGCCGGCCACATGGCATTTCAGAAAACACTGCGTAGAGTCAGCAGTCGTTTTGTGTGGCCGGGCATGTACACACAAATTTCAAAATTTTGCAAAACGTGTGAAAAATGTCAGTTAACTGCAGGAAAAGGAGTTGGCCAGGCCCATTTGCAACCCCTGCCCATAATTGGTACCCCATTCGAACGGATCGGAATGGACATTGTTGGTCCACTTGAGAAAAGTTCCGCAGGAAACCGTTTCATTTTGGTCCTGTGTGATTATGCTACTAGATACCCTGAAGCATTTCCGCTGCGCTCAATTAAAGCTAAGCAAATTGCAAATTGTTTATTGCAACTGTTTTCTAGAGTGGGTGTGGCTAAAGAGATTCTGACAGATTGTGGTACCAATTTCATGTCTCGCTTGTTGAAGCAGGTCTACCAGCTGTTGGGGGTTAAGGGGATCAGGACCACACCTTATCACCCCCAGACGGACGGGCTGGTAGAGCGCTATAACAAGACTCTAAAACATATGTTGCGCAAGTTTGTCTCCAGCACAGGTGCTGATTGGGACCAGTGGCTGCCGTACCTTCTGTTTGCCTACAGAGAAGTTCCACAGTCATCTACTGGCTTCTCCCCTTTTGAGCTCCTCTATGGACGCCAGGTGCGTGGACCACTGGACCTTCTGAAGGACTACTGGGAGCAAACGGAGACTGAAGGGTGATAACATCATTGCCTATGTCATTAAAATGAGGGAGAGACTGGAGGCTATGTCTGCACTGGCCCAGGAGAACCTGAAGGGGGCGCAATTGCAGCAGAAAACCTGGTTTGACCAAAAGGCGAAGGAGAGAGTCTTCAGCCCAGGCCAAAAGGTACTGTTATTGTTGCCAACAAATGATAATAAACTGTTGGCTAAATGGCACGGACCATACGAAGTTACCAAACAAGTGGGAAAGGTAACTTATGAACTGTATATGCCGGATAGGAAAAAGAAGCACCAGGTCTTTCATGTGAATCTCCTCAAAGAGTTCCATGTCCGTCAGGAGCCTGCACAGCAGCTGTTGGTCCGGGCTGTGCAGGACGAAGAAATAACAGAAAAGTACTTCCCTACCGACACTAATGAACATGTTGCCGTTGACCTCTCCCATCTCTCTTCCCCTCAGCAGGAGGACATTCAGCCACTGCTTGACCCATCCCTTTTCCAGGAGACCCCGGGTTTCACCTCGTTGGTCCAGCATAAGATACGGCTAAAGAAGGATGCCCCGGTACGCCAGAGGAGCTACAGGATCCCGGAGCGGTTGGTCCCTGTGCTGCAAAAGGAGATTAAGCTAATGCTCGAACTGGGGATAATTGAAGTGTCTAGTAGTGAGTGGTGCAGTCCTATTGTTCTGGTACCTAAGAAGGACGGGTCGTTGCGTTTTTGCATTGATTTCAGGTACCTCAATGCAATATCCAATTTTGATCCCTATCCAATGCCTCGCATTGATGATTTGTTGGAGCGGGTAGGAGGGGCTACCTATATCACCACCTTGGACCTCAGTAAAGGGTACTGGCAGCTGGCGCTGGCCCCAGAAGCAAAGGAACTGACTGCATTCAGGACACCTTTTGGTATGTACCAGTTCAAAGTAATGCCATTTGGTCTGCAGGGGGCACCAGCAACCTTCCAGCGCCTGATGGACCACATACTGCGGGATGTGTCTGATTTCTCAGCTGCCTACCTGGACGACGTGGTTGTGTACAGTAGTAACTGGGAAGAACACCTGTACCACCTCCAGGAGGTTTTGCAGAGAATCAGAGCAGCAGGATTGACAATCAACCCCCGTAAGTGCGCAGTGGCCCATAAGGAAGTACAGTACCTTGGTTTCACCATCGGCTTTGGCAGGATTAAACCCCAGGTGGAGAAGATGGAGGCAATACGCTCGTTCCCAGTCCCCACCACTAAAAGGAAGGTGAGAGGATTTATTGGACTAGTGGGGTGGTACAGGAAGTTTGTGCCACACTTTTCTGACAGAACTGCCGTTTTAACCAATCTGACTAAGAATGCAGCTCCGAACAAGGTGCGCTGGACTGAGGAGTGTGAGCAGGCATTTAATGACTTGAAGGAGACAATCTGTACAGAGCCAGTCCTCCATAGCCCTGACTTCAGCCAGCCCTTTATCCTCCAGACGGATGCCTCTCAAACTGGACTGGGGGCAGTCCTGATCCAAGAAAAGGAGGGGGAGAGGAGGCCAGTGGTCTTCTTGAGTCGGAGGCTTTTGGACCGTGAAACCAGGTACTCAACAGTTGAAAAGGAGTGCTTGGGAGTAAAATGGGCTGTTGACTCTCTCAGATACTACCTGCTCGGACGGCACTTTGTATTGGAGACAGACCATCGCGCTCTCCAATGGCTGCACAAGATGAAGGATGCCAACAACCGCATCACTGGATGGTACCTCTCCTTGCAGCCATACAACTTTACAGTCCAATACCGGCCCGGCAAGTCGAACGTGGTAGCGGACTGTCTCTCCAGGACGGCTGAGGAGGAAGCTGCGCCTCAGGAGAGGGAGGGGGAAATGTAACGAACGGCCTGTTCGTTACGTAATAATTACACATGCACTTTCATTCACTTCGCACTTTATATATATTTACATTGCACAGTATAGCACGAGGCACTTATAAGATACGCTAATTTGCACATATTAAGAATTGCACACATTTGTATTGTTTTAAAAAATATATTTATTGAAAACATTTTCGGGTGTCACGTGGGCCGGTCGGACGGGCACTTCCGGGTTTGGCGGCTGCCGGTCTGCGGAGATACACCGAAAGTTTACAATTGGATAGTGTGCAATATATGTGCCGTGTTTTAAATTAGTTGTGTCTTGTGTGTGTTTGCGTGTGTGCCATGTGGGTATTTTAGAGTGTGAGAGTGGTATGTGCGTGCATGTTTGGGATGTGATAGTGCTTTTACTTACCCGTGTCTTCTGTCCAGGTGTCTGGCGAAAAGATTCCCCGGGGAACCAGACACCATTTAAGAGTTCCGGGCCAACTCATCACGGCGGACATCGGGGGGGGGAATAGCACTCGTTTTAATTGGAATATTCACGTTGGGTTTTATTAGGAATTAGTTTTAGGGTGTTATTATTTTTGTATTTGGGTTTTATATAGTTTATTTGGCTATGGGTATTTTATTGGAGGATTTTAACTTAGTTTTATACAGCTAATGTTATTTTACACCCTTGGAGTTTTAATGGTTTTATCCAGTGGTATATAAGGCGCCTAATCCGACCATTCGATGTTCTGCTGCTGGAGAGACCTGCTGCTCCATATCCTCCCTGCACTTTTTGCACCGCACTTTGTTTTTGCACTGGCACTTTGGGAATTTTAGAAAAAGAAATAAAAAAATCTTGTGGACCACGCTAAACTGCCCCATCATCTGTTCTCGGTTCTCACTGCAATCCAGCCGCTCTACCCGTCCTGGTCACACTGCCACCAGAAGTATGTTCCAGAGATATATCCATGACTGTGTCCTGGGCAGGGGTTTTGAGGCCCAGGTACATAGTTCTGAAGTCAAGTGGAATGGTCATATTAAAGATAGTTCGCAATGCTTTGTTGATTTCTGTCCAATATTTATGGATCACAAGACAGTCCCAAAACACATGGTAATGATGGGCGTCTCGGCAGCCACAGTTTCTCCAACACCCTGGATTTCCCTGTGAATAGTGGGCACTTTTGTTTGGTGTTATAAAAAAACACAATATATTTTTCCTCCCAAATTCTTTCCAGATATGTGATTTTGTGCTCCTCCATTGAGATGTATATATATATATTTTCTCATTCTTCATCTGTCACTGTAAAATTACCTTCCCTTTCCCATTTATTTTTAATATATTTAGTGGAGTGGTTAGCCAGATTATTAATGCATTTATACAGTTATTTTATTATTCCCCTTGAAAGTTCTGATTCATATGCCTTAATAAACATTTCGATCAGAGGATTATAGTGATCAGCATTGCTTTGCTTAATGCTTTGGTTGTAATAACTTCTTATCTGTAAATACCTGTAGAAGTCGTTGCTTTCTAAGCCAAAGGATTCCTTTAACATGTCAAAACTTTTCACTTGATTTCCTTCTATAATCTGGTAAAACATTTTTAAACCTTTTATTATCCAGACCTTAAATCTTATGTCCGTGCCATTTGGTACAAAGCTTTGGTCATAAGCCAGTCATTTTAAGATTTTCACATCTTTATTTAGTTTATATGTTTTGATTAGTTCTTTCCAAGTAGTAAGTACTGATTCTACCCAAGACCTTACTTTTTAAAGACATGTTATGCTTTAGACCTCAGTGAGGTTTTCCTGGTTAAATAAAAGTTAAAGGGCCCATCTGATGCAAAATAACTCTTTTCACATTGTATCTTCTGCACATATACAAGCACAATTTGGGTTTTGGAACATCCATTACACAATACACAATTTTGTTATTTTTATTCCTAAGCCTTGGGCTAGTCAATTTCACTAGGCTGTTACTCTGAAAACCGTATTTTC